CAATTTATTGCATCTGAATATTCATATCAAGTGAGTCATGCTGGCTTATGTCTTTATATCTGGACTAATAAAGCATATGAGAAGAACCATCTGAGTTATGCAGTAATGTGGCTGCTGCTGAATGAAAGATTATGTGATTAATATTTGGTCCTTGACACGTGTGCGACTATTTAAAGAAAGCTTACTTGATTCTAACAGTTGCTTACAATGTATATATGTATGGCACAAATGAATATAATGCATGAACATAATAAAAAGGACAGACCTTAACCCTTAACCATCTGTGTGTCTTGTGTCTGCTCAGGCTTAACAAGCTAGAAGTTGCACAGTACATCATTCAGCCAGTGGTGAAAATGGCTGCTTCCTGTGTTCTTGTCACAACACCAAGTCAGTCAAGGTCACCAAGAAATGTAGTATGTTGCTGCCATTCTCCCATCTCTGCCACTTCGTGGCTTTAACGTCTCCCCTTGGGTCCGATGTGAGGTGGCACAGTTTAAGCCAGTTTGAGAGCACCCAGAAAGGTGGAATCTCCACTCAGGGACACGTCTGCTGTGGCCCGGGGGATCAGAAGCTCCAAGTAGTCCCCAGCCTCCAGCTTCACAATACCTGAGGGATGTAAATGTCTGCATCAGACCTTGAATTGGTATTTTCCATTACTACGCACTCCTTAAACTGAAGCACCAACATGCATACACAAACACACACACACAAACAAATGCTTGACAGCTTGACAAAAGAGGAAGTGGGTTGATTAACCTCCACAAGAACTGTTGTTTAAAGGAAGAACATATCTGGGCAAATACAATAACACAGATTCACCTCCTGTGTAGCAGGTGTTGAACGATTGGACAGGGTTCATGTTTTGGATGCAGCGGAACAGGGACACATACTGAGGCTCGTTTCCAACAACGTTTGTCTTCCACCGGAACACCACGTGACCCATTGCAAAGGTGTTGTCCCTGTAGAAGACCTGTGCACATCAGAACCACCAGGTTAAAACCACGAGGTGTGGTGGGGGCATTGGTGCTACAGCATTTGGTACCTAATTAATTATGCAAGCATAATTTATATATTCTCTTCTTTATCTGACCTTTGTTCAAGGTCTCTCAACCAGCTGCATGTTTAGACTGAGCACACCCTTTTTTCTGCACCGTTTGTAAGGGAGAAAATATTATCTGATGATTTGGAAACGGACTGGCAGCACCCCCCTGTGGCAAAATCATGGAATGACAATTTCAAAAAAGGACGTACCTGACTGTACACATAATAGAAGCCCTCCTCTCGGACTAAAATGCGGTCACCTTCGGCCTCCAGGGCAGTGCCTCTCTTTAACCCAGGCTGCCAAGGGATGCCTGTGTATGTATCTCTTAAAATTTCTAAACCAAAACACAACATCAGTATGGAAAATGCCTCACAGCACATAAAGATACATCTTTTGTAACAGTCACCATATTTGTGAGTCTAAATTCTGACTTTGTAACAATGGCTCTGATTAGTTTACAAAGACCAAAAGATCTCAATATGAAACAAGAGGTAAATACAAACCAGAGGTAAGTTAAACAAACAGACAACAGTCTAACATCTTGTACCTTTCACGTAGTTTTTTCTGCTGTCGTTTGCCAGCATCTGCAGGAAAGACTGAGAAACTGCGAGCAAAAACAAGAGGAAACTATTTTTAAAAGTTGTTTCTTTTCTGTCTCAACAAAGCTTGTTCCTTAACCGCTGCTCTTGTTCGTTCTTATCCATCTTTTTTTTTTCTCCCATTTTTGGGCAAAAGTGCATCATCGGTGCCCAACAGCTCAATAAATTTGGCCTTATACTATGCACATTAATCAACTAACAGCAATATCTGACCACATGAGATTTTTTGGGATTGTTAAGAAAACGTGGTCATTGGTATGTTAAAGTAAACAGTGTGTCTGGGGAACTTAGATTTAACATCCTCTACCCCCCTGCCCACAAAAAAAAGAAAAAAAAAGAAAAAGAAACCTCTATGCACAATTAAACACGGGTTAACAATGGTACAGAAAATTATACACTACGCATAGTACCAGTAATAAAAGTGTGTGTTATTTTTCTTTTTTCTAATCAGGCAACAGAGTTGAAAAAACTAAACGTACATTTTTGCAAATATCTCATGCGTGAACAATAACTGTAAGTCTCAAGTGCACCCTCTATGTCTTACTTAACACTTCTGCTCCAGACACCGTTCTCCTTCGTCGTGTTTGGATGAAGGCAGGTGGACACTCGGGCTGGCGAGCAACATCTTTGATGTTGTTTGGAATCTCCACCTGCACAGACATGATATGGCTCTTAGAAAAACAGTAACTGCAATTAAAATACAATATTTTGCACATCTTCGTAACCTTGTGCAGGTGGGGTGCTTGCTGTCGTTCCCATGTGGGGGGTGGACTAGTGTTCTCTCACCTGCAATCTGTCTGCGCTGGGTTGTCCCTCTTCTCTCCCACAAGAGACATCTGATTGAAGTTGCTCTATTTCAGCTCTGAGAGCTACCAGCTGGTACAGAGACAAAGCTGAAAGAAAAGATGAGCTGAGAGCGGCCAGCATCAACAGGAAAACTGGCCAGGACAGCATTCTTTCACTATCCCCTTGTCCAGAGCCAGGCTTAAGACCTGCCAAAACTGCCATTGCAGGACCCATACAATCTCCAGAGCGAGCTCACACTTGCCACATGACCAGTTTCACGCCTGAACTATCCTCTCCCTGTCTTCTTACTGTATTTGGAATGGCGGATGTTTGCTTTTGTTATCAAATGTTCTCTAGAGTCTCCAGTAGTACCGTAACTCCCGTCTGCAAGCAAGATTGATTTCCTTAACTCTCACTTTTGTCCTTAAGAAGCCAGACCCAGTGCAGTCTGAGGGACTACGCAGGATAAATACTTTACAAAAAAAATGGTAAAGAGCTTCCCCTCTATTGTTCCGCTAAGCTAACCACACTCAGCTTCCTGCCTGACCAGAAGCCTTGACAAATCTCTCTCTCACTCCTCGGTTTTCACATCACAAAACACACGTCTTCTTCCACACAATAAAAATTGACACGCGAGTGGGCACAAGAGGGGAACCTGGCAGCAAAATGGAAAACAGCCAAGGTGTGAAACAGGTAAAGTGATTTAAGACTGAGAAGTGAAAATAATACCGTATAATGGAACCGTTATTTCAGAATTAGATGCACACTAAAATAAGGAAGTGAATAAATTCATCTGTGAACAGCAACACAACATGGCAAAACATACAAAACTGTTATTCTCAGAAGTGTGAAGTTACTTGTTTTAGCACCCTGAATAACAAAGCACATACACACACAGACACACACACGCAAAGTCCAACTCAAACCACAAAAAAGATTTTAATGTATCAATTTATTGCATGTTACAGTACAGAAAATAGAAAGTGAAAATGTGTGCTTACAAAAGAAGTTGTCGACATTGTTTAAAAATTGTAAAGAAACAACTGGAAAATGGAAAAAATTGCTCAAACTGACCGCGCTGTACTCAGAAGTCAAAAGATGACTCATTCAGATGTTTGTCTGTAGTAATAAATCATCAGTTTTTCTTCAGAGTATACAGAAGCGGAGCGGTTGTGGCAGATATACACAAAGTATGTCAAGACTGTGCATGTTCATTTCCACACAAATTTGCCAAGACTCGATGTTATTACATGCCAGCTTTAAAATGCAACGTACCAATTCTGAGTTATGGCAACATTTTTCGCCAGCATTTGTTCCGAATAGATTCACATAAAGAAAAAAAAAAGTCCCACAGTGCACTGTCGCATCCGATCGGCCAATGATTTTCTATCAAAACTTAAAAGACATTCAATTTTATTTGTTTTCATCCACAGGGTGTTGGACTGTAAAAGCACATTTGGCTAGGATGAAGACTCAATATTCCATTTATTATTAGATTTGCTTCCTACCAGGCTACAAAATGGTAAATCAAGTGAATGACAACAAGTTCCGCAATCTTCTCTTGAATGATGGGATGGTGCAATTCTAAGTCACAGCAGAAGTGTAAAACAAAGCTAGTGGAGCCAAAAGAGTGTATATTCACATGGTTGTATGCACAATGTGCATTAACTCAGCATATGGATTTGATATAATACAAAAATGTCCCAAAATGTTCAGTGCCGCCAGGAAAATAAGTCAAAGAAAAAGGAAGAAAAGACCAGCAATATACGATTTCTATAAAGCATGTTCACTTAAGACCACCATTTACATTCATAGTAGGATTTCGATCATTTGTCAAGTTACAGTGATGCACAAATTTGGTCTTCTGGCATTGTCAGATTTTGTTTAGCATACGTCTCAAACAGTATTAAATATGGCTAAGGAGATCTGTTGAGTTTGTTCAAATGGCTTTGATACCACTGCACTGCCGCGTGCTGCATTTAGAAAGCAAGAGCTGATAATAGCGTTTTAATTGTCGAGCTCCGCTCCATCCCATGGAAGACATGCAGGAAAGGTTAATTAGCTCATTAAAAGCCCTCCAAGTGAGTAAAGCCGTTTTGCAAATAAGCATGGGGTGACAGAATCCAATTAACAATTACAATGCTGATGATAAAAGCTAAGAAAAAAGCTTACACCTCATTCCTAAATATACCTCTTCTTAAAAAAAAAAAAAACAGTTTCAGTGTTTTGGGTTTTTTTGCTCCCTAAAATTATTTCAATTCAGTATTCAAATGGCCATATGCTGTACAGTAAATTTTTAAGAACTATCTTTCTTGGTAATCATTCGTCATGTCTGTAATGCCTCCCAGAAATCTCACATGGTGTGACTAAAGGGTGAGAGGTATAGGGCAAGTTCACATTCCTCAGTCTTTGTCAAAAAATAATTCTTAGAATTTCATTAATCTTCAAAAGTTAATTTCCGCCCTCAAAATCCCCCTATTAGAATTTGCTGGACTGCAGTTTCTTGTTGATTTGCAGTATTAACTTTGGGAAATTACCCACTAAATTTCTCTTGCTCAGACTACTGAGGACTTATTATAATATTTGCAAATCTTCTGAATACTTTTTTGCACAAAATGAGAACTATGTAATTTTTCCCTATTGTGTTCCAGCGGTCAGCAGGGGCAAGACCATTACACCAACCGATGACTCCTTCGGTGCACAGATATATATCCACACTAATGTAACTTGCTGTAAAAGGTTCTTACCATAAACTATAGAAGCCAATGTTGCATAATAACCTCTAAAGCCCAATTAAAGACCTTTTCTTGTGTGCGCATTGCATTTTAACCAGGGAGAACAGCTTGTAGGTTATCTTAATCACAATGAAACAGAAGCAGCTAGACAGGAAATAAGAGGTCCATAAGTTATTTTTGACAGGCAGAAGTATCAAACATGTCATTTCATCTTCCTGACCACTTCATCTCAGCAAACACTTGTGGCTGAATATAATTATTCAACAGGAAGCTTTCTGCTACTTTTAAAAGTAAAGTTCAAAGGGTGTATGTGTATAGACAGTAATCACAACAATATCCTTCTGTGCCAATCTGTTGCACATACATCAGATTAACGCTTAAAGAGGGAGAGGGAAAAAAGTACACTGCTCAAAGTATTGCTCAGAAGATGTTAGCTCATATAATTAAACACTTGGGTAAGTTTAAAAAGAAAAGTGCAATTTAGAAAATTAAATATATTTACACTGAAGGCCTAGACTGCATTATCAGGCCTAGCTCAGTTTATCAGATGAACTGAAATTTTAACTGCAGTAACAATCAGTTTTCACTGAAACACCATAGGCCCCTATATGGACGCAGTAACAAGAGAAACTGTTTCACTGACTTTAATTCATTCGAGCAGACTTACTAGAGCAAAGTCTTCTGTGTTGTGACATGTATGATCTGGCTTCATTCGTTAAAAAACATCAAAAATACATGCATACATATCTGCAAACAAACTCAGGAGGACATTCTTACCCTCTCTTAGAACCTTGAAACAGTGAAAATATTTTGACATGTTAAATTTACAGAAAGGTAAAAAGAGTGAAATAAAATAAAACCCCACACAAAAGGATTAAAAAATGTACATTCTTCCCAAGAATCAGTGAAGCTTTTCCAATCAGTCCACTCAAGCCCATGAACAGTCAGTCCCTGACTTTTTTTTTTCTTTTTTAGATAATGGTGACACTAGCTGAAGGCTGAGCGCTCTCCTCGTGGGCATGGCTCTTCAGCAGGTCTTTAATGAACTGCTCCAAAGCAGCAAAATAGCCCTGACACTGCCACGTGTCGTTGTGCGTGCCCTCTGGAAAGATAGCCAGGCGCTTAGTCCGTGCAGGAGACAGCTCGTACAGTTGTTTCATCATAACTGGTGGGATGAGCTGATCAGACAGACCAGACACAAACAGCGAAGGCATGCGGCACAGCGCCACCTGTCTATAGGACAGGAACTTATTCCTATAGCACCACAAGGGGAGCAGGCGCATGGGCAAGAAGGAGAAGAGCGTTGCTGCCATATGGGGGATGCTGAGGAAGGTGTTTTCAACAATAATGGCTGCTACTCTATGAGGGTTGACTGATGCCAATCGAACAGCCACGGCACCTCCTAGTGAGCGACCAAAGAGTACCACCTTTGTTTTGTCTAGATCAGGGCGGGTCATGACATAGTCCAACGTGGCCTCGGCATCAAGGTAGAGCCCATCCTCGCTGGGCTCACCCTCACTTTTTCCATAACCACGGTAGTCCACCAGCACCACGTTAGCTTTTAGATTGACCAACATTAACAGGGCATTTGGCACCCTGTGACCAATATTACCTGCATTACCATGGAAATAAAGGATCGTAGGGGGAGCAGAAGAAGTGGGGCAGCTTTGATTTCCAGCAGTGACTCCAGGAGATGTGTCCCCTCCTGTGTAACGAAGCAGGATGAGGTTGAGCTTGACACCGTCCTTAGTACGAATATACACATTCTCATGTGGGATTCCTGTTGGCATGGGAACATAAAGGCGAGAGGAGGAAGGCTGGTCAGGAAAATAGAGGAGAACATCCTGAAATTTGTAGAGGATGCCTGCCACAGATGCTAAGATGAGAGCGAGGAGAAAAAATCCTCCATATAGATGGAAGGTGAGGATAAGGGCCAAAAGGGAGACACGACAGGCACCCCAGGACCAGGACACCAGAGTGAGGGTGCAACGCTCCATTGCCCCCCACAACCTCCACGGCTTCTCCATGGCTACACAAGAGCTGAATCACAGGCCACACACTCTGCAACAAACCAATAAAAACCAAACAAAAACATTAATGACACAATCAAAAAACACAGGGAACCAAAGATGATTTGGCAGGTAATTGCATCAAATACAGAAGTTCTTGTATCAGTATATAATCATGCACAATATCCATAACAGTTATCAGCCTACTTCATAAAAAAAAATACTGATGCAAAACTGAACATACTGCTCATGTACCAATACTGGGAAGTAATGAAGACTATGTTATCACAGCTAATAAAAGAATTAAACACCAGTTAGTGTTCATTAAATTATTGCAGGCATTCATGAAGCTTTGTTCAAAAACCTATTCTGTACAAAACATTTTTTTGAACTCAGACATTCAATTAAATTAAGCATTAAAAGAAGGGTTACAAATAAAAAAGGACACGTGTCCCTACAACAGCAACCATATATTCCGATATTCTAATCAACATTGTGCGTCTCATGCACAAGGCTAAAATATGTATGAACTACAGTCTTTAGCTTTAGAAATAATGAACACAAAACATGATGAAAATACATTTTATCACAATTTTATTTCACTATCATAAGTCAAAGCTCGTGGCATTTGGTTAGTTGACATGGAAGGACCCCTATGTATTCTGTCTAAAAACATTCATATACTTAAACCAGGACTGTATCGTTTTTATAATAACAGTAATAGTAAAACATCACTGGATAATGTGTTTGACTGCAGAGGGTCTGTTTTCCGCCTCCTGCTATATCAGCAACCTATAGGAGGAATCAGGTGTGCTCAGCCAACCGAAAGGTGATGGGAACCAAACCCTGGTGAATATACTGGCTTATCAGGTGGCGGTAAGATGTGTGCAGTGGTGAGGTTAGTACGGGGAATTAAGGTAATGTATGCTGAAAAGATGAAGATGGAACTCTTACGAAGGGAAAAAAAAAAGTCTCGACCCCACCCACAAGGAAAAGCGTTGACAGCTGCTGTCAGCCTGGTGAAAAGCTCATACGACTGGAGTTAGCAGAGCTTTGGCAGTTGGTATCTAATTTAACTGATCGTCGATCGTTAAGAGCAGCCAGTCATCACTCAGTATTTTTGGCCTGTCAAATCAGTCACGACTGACACACCATGCTTTGAATTTGCTGGCTATACAAACGAGTTTAACCCCATTAAATGACCACTCGCTCCAGCCGAGTTAGCTGAGTAACTGAAATGCTAACTACTAAGCAGTCCTTACCTTGCTAGTGCTGTTAGCAGTCTTATAGGTAGCTTTTTAAGTTAGCCACCTAGCTAACTCGTCAATGTTAGCTACGAAGCCATCTACTTACCCTTCTCTCATTTTCAGCGTCTCAGCTCCACGAAATTTTAGTAAAACACTAACGCACAGGCAACACAGCCACTGTCATTCAACTCTGTATCTACTAACAAGATTATAGTTACAGCAGCAAGGTAAGTGACAGGCTGTCAGCGACAACACCGGTGACACTAGCTGCACAGCTGGTTAGCATTACTGGTGTAACCTTTTTCAGTTCCGTGTAGAGCTTAGAATAAGAAAATGGGTTCCTGTAAAGCTGCAGTCCTCGCACATCAATATAAACTGCGTTTCAGCGTGACAAAGCACTAAAGTATTAGCACGTGCTAATTTAGGTATCGATCAGGTGATACTTAAAGCGTGTAATGTATAGCACGCCGCCGTGGTAGGGACGTGCAGAATATTAAATACGATGTATTGGCCGAGCTCACGCCTCTGCGTTTGCTATTTAATTTTCACCCACCAGGTGTTGCTATTAGATAGAATATACAGCATTCCAGGGCCTAAAAGCAAACTGATTAAAAAATAAGGATGCTTTGCGAGCACATTCAATGACCGATGCAGCGTTGTTACTTGTTTACTTTATTTACATTTTTAATTTTTGTTTTTATTATTGATGATGATGATCACTACTACTACTACTAATAATAATAACGGTTCTGTATAAGGAAGACAGAAGTGACAGAGAATAAAGTAATGTATGAGAATAGTGAAATAGTTGTAAGGTATGTGGTAGGAGTTAGAGTTGAGTTCAGGGTGGGGGGTAGGACATCAGAGCCTGTTCTTGTTTGCGATGGTATTTACAGGTTGACAGATGAGGACAGGCAGGAGTCTCTGTGGACTATGATGTTTGCTGATGACACTGTGATCAGTAATGAGAGTAGGAAACGTCTGGAAGATTACTTGGAGAAGTGGAGGTATCCTTTGAAGAGAAGATTAATGAAAGTCAGTAGAATCAAGTCAGAATACTTGTGTGTGAATAAGAGGAGATCGCGTAATAGTGATGTTGCAGGGACTAGTGAAGGTGAACAAGTTCAGATGCCTGGGTTCAACCATCCAAAGCAACATACTGTGCACAAGAGCAGTGAAGAAGAGAATCTAGGCAGGGTAGAGCTGACCGAGACCATTACTTGGGGTGAGTTGTGTCATAAGAATAACAGCAAGAATCAGAGGGAAGGTTTACAAGATGGTAGTGAGGCCTGTTATTATATATAATTTGAAGATAGGAGACAGAGATGGAGATGCTAAGATTTTCATTGTTAGCAGTTAGGGATAGATAAGATGGAGGCAGATGATCCACTGTGATGACCACTAAAGGGAGCAGACAGAAAGAAAAGCAGAAGAAAGAAAAACAATTACTATTGACTGACTTGTTAGATTGAAATAAAATAACCTCACATGCACAAAATGGCAGAGTATTGTGACTTGCTTTTCATTAATGACACAAAACTATTGCAGGAAATTATCATTTCTATGCATATTTTGGACAGTGATATAGGCTATCCACTAACAAGTTACATTCTTTGAAAACATGATCTCAAAGTTACAGATGGTTTTAATCTATTCAGTTCCCAAGAATGAGTCTCTTATAACTTGAAAATGTATGAGAGCCTACTGCTGTGATCTCAACAGCAGACTATAAAGAACAGTTTTTTATGTGTTGGTGGAGTCAAAACTGACACATCTCAAAGCTTCGAAAAATGGGTCACTTGTAGGTGTGAGAAACATAACACTACTGTGGCTGCTGAAGGGACTGTCCTTGAAAAAAAATCCCTCAAAGAAAGAACAGCTCAACCTTGCTGCCTTAAGCTGCTTTTTTTTTTTAGTTAAAGCCAACCAAACAACAAAAGTTAAAATAACTGAGAATTTGACTTGGACCTGGATGATGTTGCATGTCGTACGTGCTTGTGACTTTCAAATTTCATGGTGATCTATAAAACTAATTAGAAAATACAAACACAGTTGAAGTCGTGCTGCAAAGGGGTTTTTCATTTTAATAGTATATGTTAATATTTCCATTCTGAGTTGCCCATTGGTATTGATTTGTTGGTGATACTCAGTGTGACCTTGGAGGAGACAGATTATGTGCAGACCAGCACAGCTGTTGGCTGTTCACCTCTCTCCTTGGGGTTCGCTGATTTGATTCCGTGTTGTTCGAGTCAGCAGCGGCTTCATAAGCTATGCAAATCTTTTCATAAAAGAATACACCAAAAATACAGCCAGCACATGAAAGCTCATTGTCAATTACAATGTATTAATCATTGCTGGAGTAAGAGGTGCTGACACAAGTTTTTGCTGAAACCTTAAAGTCGCACTGTGGAGGCTGTTGAGGAGAAAATGGTTGTGAAGTAGTGTCCACATGCTGTGTAACTGCCCATGGCCTGTTCTGCAAGTCAGCAGTTTCTTTGAATTTATGGATTGATTAGTTGGTTTGTTGCTGTAGTGTTATTTATGTCATAACAATGAACAACATATAAAAATTAAAAACATTTGTGTTTAGTATTTTTTTTATTCCACTTTTTCCTTAGTAAAATGCTGTGCTCATTTTTAAATAAGGATTTACAAAGGAAAGTGCTCTTTGAACTGAATCATCCAGACTTACAAATGAGAAACTGTTTTTTTTTCCCAGCTTGAACAGATTGACTTTAAGATTATGACCATGTTCAAACTCCATTCATTATTCAGACTGAATAATAAAAAGGGAAATCTACTATACCAGAAAACTAGTGTAGTAGCCATGTCATTGGCATTGACCCTACCTGCTAGAGGTGCTTATTGTATCTATGCAGCAGAATGCATAGTGGATGAGTGCACACACATACACGCACACACGCACGTACACACCTACACCTTGTCTCTTTAGGTGATGGTGAGTGCTGCATTCAGCCTGTAAGAGACTGACAGCTGGCAGCTTCACTCCCTCTTACCTATGACTCAATTACCTTTGACATGTCAGTCAAAACATCTACTACACACACACTCGCTCACTCTCTCTTATTCTGCAGCTCTCGTATCCCACGACTCAATTACTTGAAATATAGCACTCTAAACAGCTGGAGGGCCCAAGCTCAATAACTCGCAGTCAGAGCTGTAAGAAGGACAAAGCAAAACTGTGGCGACCCAGCTGGGAATATCATATCATCAAGCCAAGGGGACATGCTTATCATTCACCTCACATCATGCACCATGTGGCCTTCTAGAGCCTCCAGAACCATAGAATACATTTCTACAAGGGACCCGTGGTTCCCATTGATAAAATAAAAAACAATAACACAACTTCCACAGCAGATGTCAAGCCATTTAAGCGCAGAGATATTTAGTCAGTCAGCAACTTTTTTTTCACCGGACACTAGGTTTTTAACTTTTTTCGTATAAGAGTTGCCATCATTATCTTTGTGCCATGCTGCGTTTGGACATAGTTTGGCTTGTTCCATACTAACATGCAACACCTCTTTGATTTGTTGATTTCTCAGCATGCCATGCATGGAATGATAGATGGTTGTGTCCATGACTACAATGTAAAAGTGTCACCTTGGAGACAGAGTATTCCTTTGAGTCAGAGAGGACAGCTACATAATACCAAGTCTTTATTTTACACACAACACATGCACACAGGCACACACACACACACACACACACACACACACACTTGTGTGCCCAATTCTTGTTTTCTTTTGAAGTCATTAAGTCATTCCACCCTGGAAAACAACAGTTCAAAGAAATCATTAAAAACCCAAAATTACTGTGACACATGAGTGTATGCAAACTTCTGTTCACATCTGTATATAATTAAGAACACACGAGGTACTGTAGTGCTTATTGTTTTACTCTCAGGCACTAAACAAGATTCAATGAGACTACATTATACAGTTTTATGCTACAGTGACATGAAATAGAGCAGGCTGCTTGGCATTGTGGGCATGCAGCAAAGAGTGCCCTATACACTATGCCTGCCAGAAGTAAATTGGGTGGAAATTGCAGTATGTCTCAGGCAGCAATTAGGAGGCCTCCTGTGGCAAGGAGGTCGACTTCTAATAAAGGCTACATTTCCCTCATTTCCCATGCAAATAAACCTTCTGTCATACCTATGATGATATCAATCATTCTAATTAACCTGCTGATATAAGTTTGTGTGTGCATTGTTTATGTGTGTGTGTGTGTGTGTGTGTGTGTGTGTGCTTAAGTACAGGCAGTGGTGATGAGCTGAGTTTAAAACAGCAGCATGTAGTGAAGTAATAAAGGAGTAACCACAATATTGTGGGTAATTACATGGTAATGGGGCATGATTTACTAATTAGTGTGGCTTTAAGTGTGATCGGTGGGGTTTTGTGCAATGAATTTCACACTTTTTATTCCTCACTCTCTGACTATGACAAGTGAGGCATGAAGTGGTCACCATTTTTACAAAAAAAGGGAAAGTAGTCACAATTTTCCCTAAAAAAGCCCCCTGTCAAGATCTTTAGAGTGAGAATGATGTTATCTAAGCCATCATCCCTCTTCTGGTCTTTGCCTAACCTCCTCTGATGGTAGAAAAAGATAATTAGCACATTTGGCCATTGTGCCAAAAATAAAAATGAAAAGATGACTTTGAGAGAACACGTTCTTCAGCTCTCAAGACACTTGAAAATCCTCTTCAGCTGTAACATTATTTGCCACAGTTTCTAAATCAAGCTGCCTTAAAAGTAATTCAACGCATACAAGTATATTTTTTCACATTTGTTAGAGCGAAATGAAAACTTCACCTTTTGTAATTTACTGTTTTGTTTTTTGTTTTTTTTTTTTAAATTGAACTTAAAGTTATTGCGGCATTAAATAATGCTTTAATTTTTTTTGATCTGCTGTCTTGATGAGACCAAATAAGAAGATTGATGCCACTTTAATGGCTGTTTATTTAGCAGGAAACTGAAGTCAGGAGGCCTGGATGCAATTTAACTAATTTGGCAAAAGCAGGAAGGGGCAAAAGCTGGCTTGGCTGTATCCACGTTCAAAAAAATGTCTACTAGCACTATAACTAAGATCTTTGTGGCTTAGTGAGCTCTAACGTACTAGTCTTTGAGCAAAATTATAGGGTTGAAGTTGCCCCACAAAATCACAAAAGTTGTGAGAATGCTCTTGACCTTCTTGGTTAAGTCTTAGTAAGAAAGCAATCTTAGTTCATTAAACTAAAAATAAATAAATAAACAATTCCTTTAAGGTAATAAATACAGTCATTAAAAAGAGAGCATTTCAGTCAGGTGA